GGCTATTTGGTTTGTTAGATGACTCAATTTACCTAGCCAAATCTTTGGCATGTCAATTTTTTTCGCGAACGCGCAAAAGGATTGTATGCACGCCAATATATTAGAAGAAAAGAGTTATAGTTACACAACATGCTCAGCCATACTAGCTTATGTTAGGGGAAGTAAGAAAAATCAAATTAAAAAGCTGAAGTTTAGAAAACTACGGAGGCTAAACTTGGCATGCCAATTTCTTAAGGAAATTTCTGAATCATGCAAAATAGATGTAGCTTAGTTATAGTTTTGAACCATTTGACCCTACATGTCAGAGACGAAGTTTGTCTAAGGTATATTGTGGCACTTCACACCTTGGCTATAGTGAGGTTTTACTTTAACCATCAATCAAACATCATGAGATACAGTTGATAGGTAGATAATAGCATATATGCACCAAACTAGATAGGTCATAGAATTAGTCTCATGAGGTGACACAACGACTGATATCTGATACTACGCATGTCATGGACTCATGATCAGGGTCAGTACGTATGGATGACTCATTCAAGCATATATATGGTAGGGTAGGCAGGATCCACGTTGAGAGATAGTGCCGATATACTTGCCCATGATCGTGCTTAGTTCGTGTAGATTTTGAACGGTTCGATATTCATAATGGAATAGAACATCACAGCCTTTACTCAAAAGAGCTACATTCAATTATTATAAAGTAACACTCTAAAACGAGTGAAGTTAAAAAAAAATGAGGACACCAATTTAAGAAGAAAAATAATCCATATAGGATAAGGAGTACATATTTATTGAAGTTTATTTGTGAATCTCCATCCATAATTGATAAAAAGTTGCATAACCGTCGTCTCAAGTTTACGACATGCAACTTTTAGAAGCTCTCAGTTTTCATAACACCTTTGTAATTGTGTCTAAAATCGGAGCTAATATATTGCCTTGAAAATTGCATGAAGTGTTTCCGAACCAAGTTAATTAATTACGGTTCTTAATTAGAGGCCGTACCAAGTTAATTACCCATCACCACCTAGCTAGATAGTTGCAGCTTTGGAGAGAAGAGAACTAGACATGATGCTCGGTGGAAGACTGAGGGGCTATTTAGTTGCCAGCCGAAGTTTGTCGTTAAATTTTAGGCAGCGTATCAATCTTTTAGGGGGCTAGCTAGGTTTTTTTTTCTTTTGTCACGGTTGAGTTAAACCACAATTTATTACAATATATTGACTTAGGTTATACTCTAATTTTTTAATTTAAAGTTTGCCATACTTATTGACCAAACTTTCTGTGGCTTACTACACTAATGATAAATTGAGTTGTGGCAAAGATTAGTCTCTAACCGAACAGCATCTAAAGCCCAATAGTTAGTACTTGGGCGACCAACTTACGTACCTGAATTGACCGCGGTCAAAGTAAACAATCAGCATTTGCATATATAGTTGCATAGTGCCGGTAGGTAAAGATATGATGGTTGAATAGTTAATTTTAAATCAAAAGAACGCAGTGGATTAGACTCCTGAGTCAAAAACAGGTTGTTCGGCGGATTGACCTCCCTCAACCTCACGCGGGTGGCTCTCGAGCGAAACCCTAGCTGCCCACGCCGCCACCTCCATCCTCCTCTAGCTGCCTTGCCGCCGTCGGAGTCCGCCGCCGGAAACCGCGCGGCCGGCCGGAAACGTGGCGGCAGGGAGAACATCCCGGCGGCGGAGCTCTCCCTCGGTGTGGGAGGCGGAGTGGCGCGTGCCGGTCGTAAGGCCGTGCCACGGCGGGCGTCGGGGCGATGGGGCAACGGATCTGGACGCACCGGTGGTGAATCTTGCCCACCCAGGCGCGGATCTGGCCGGCAACGGTCCACTGCGACGACGGACGGTTGAGGCGAGGGGCGCAACAGCTGTGGCCGGCGGGCGGAGGTGGCCGACGCCGGAGGAGCGCGGCGGAAACCCGCGGCATCGGCGGACGACGGAGGCGCATGCAGAGTTTGTGCGGTGGCGGCGGCACTGGCGCGGCTGCGGCTGGGCGGCACAGGCAGCGACGACAGAGCACGGCGCGGTGCGAGCGAGGAGGTGAGGCTGGCAGCGGTGGAGGTTGCCACGGTGGCGGCGTTGCGCTGCTATGCACGAGGAAGAAGGAGACATCGGTGACGCAAAGGAGGCGTCTGCGGCGCGAGGATGGAGGTCGCCGTGGCCTTGGCGCCGGCAGAGGCGCGGCACGACCGGCGGTAGCTGGCCGGCACGCCCTCCCCTCCACCAGAATCTGGTGGGAGGGTTGTCAACGGGAGGGGCGGTGGCGGCGGCGCCAGCGCCCTCCCCTCCACCAGATCTGGTGGGATGGGACGCGGTGGCGGCGGCGCCTTCCCGCCGTCTATCTGGCGGGAGGGGAGGCAGCGGGAGGGAGTCACGCGCCCCCTCCCCCTTCTCCATTGGGCAATAGCGGCTTCCCGTGGCAGCGGTGGCGGTGGTGGAGAAGGCGGTGGCATCCTCCTCTCCATCCGACGACGGCGATGGTGGAGAATGATGTTCTTGAATGGTGTACGTGTTCTTTATGTATTCTTGAATGATGCTCTTGATGTTCTTGATGTTCTTGATGTGCTCAAAGCCGACTGGATTCGAGCCGAGCTGGTTTTTTTTTTGGCTCGTTCATTCTTATACGTGTCGGCTTTTGACTAAAACCGGTATATATAAATTATGATAGGTTTTGGTTCTACAACAGCACTGATGAAGAAGTGCTGCGTGCTAGGTGCCAGTTAGAAAATCTGGCATCTTTGACCGGTTCACAACCAGGATCTTTTCTGTCGTTTTACTGGCAAACTACTGTTCTGCTCCGGCGTTTTAGTCAGCCCATGCGAAGCCCACACGCATGCGGTCTCCTCCGAGCTTCATCTTGATTTAGCCCATGTAAACCACTCTTCGTCTTCTTCCACCTGCAGCACAGCGCCCCCGATACGAGAAGGCTAGTTGGCGATCAGTCGCGCGGGGAGGCGCGTGACTGGACACGTGTCGCGCGCAGAGAGGGGGCGGCGGATGCGCCGCGCGGGTGAGGAGGGAGAGCGAGTTTCGAATATGTATGTATATAAAGTTTGTATTTATCGTATACAAAGTTTTATATGTCCTATATAAACTTTGTATAAATCGTATATAACCTTTGTATATGGGTATATATTTTTTATACATTAAAAATATATTTATATGTATATATACGTATGTATATACCTATATAACACATACGTGTGTATATATAGTATATACATACGTATAGAAGTAGTAGATTAGATACAGAGAGACTAGAGGAGGGGGCAACTGACCCCCCCCCCCCCCCCCGCGGCTAATCGCGTATCAGCCGTCCCCCCCTCCGATTTGCTCAGATGTTGACTGCACGTATTCATCTCGCGCTACCTCGGCTATAGATGGCCAAACGGGCAGCATGGCCCGGCACAGCCCAAACTCAGCCGTGTCTAGGCCGAGGGTAGTCGGGCTGGCACAGCCCGACCAACACACCAGGCCATGCCGTGCCAGCCCACGGGCCGCACACATGCCCCAGGCGCGGCCCAACACGACTCGGGCCGTGCCGGGCCGGCCCAAATGCATGACGGCTGATCGTGCCTGTCCATATAATAAGTCTAATTTTCTCCTTCCTCTTGGGCTGTGACATATGCTTAGCTAAAAAAGTCTATTTTCCCTTCCTCTTCTTTGGGCTGTGAATATAAATAGATAAAATAAGTCTATTTTAGGTCTCTATTCTTTGGACTATGATATTAAGATGTCTATTTTTAGTCCCTATACTTTGTGTGCCGGGCCTGGCCTGCTAGCCCAACGTGCTGGTCGCGGGAGGCCCAGGCACAGCCCGGCGGTCGGGCCGGGCCGGCACAGGTCCGACCCAAGTCAGGGCGTGCCATGCTTGGGTCGGGCCAAAATATCGTGCCGTGGGCCGGGCCTTTGGGCTTTGGGCCTTATGGCCATCTATAACCCCGGCCCCCAGCTGCCCCTGCGGCGCACGGATGACGGTGAGGACCGCATCAGCGCCCTCCCGCGCGCTCCCGGACGCGTGCACCTCCACCACCTGAATTCGTCGACAAATTTCTGCATGCTCCACCGCAGCCGGCCCGTTACCCCTGGACGAATGCGAGATCGAATGCGATGACGATGAGGAGTTGCAGGACAGCAGCTAGCTTGAGGCGTTCCGGATCGAACCTCTGTCGGTGTATATCCAGTACGCTGTATCGTCCCTAGTCGGATGCTTGCATGCTGATACCTGTGGTAAAGACGACTTCTCATGTCGAGTTAGGGGACTCCAATCCTCCCTTGATTTCTCTTCTATAAATTTGATAAAACAAAAATCCGTGTTTGAGATGCAACTTGAACTTGCACGATCAAGTTCTCGGATATGCATGTTTTGGTGATGGCATTGTCGTCTTTGGCTCCTCACATCCATTCCCATATCAATCTTACATTCTTACTCAAATCGAAATTGGTAATGCCTCCGTTTTTCTTTTGATCTAGCGTAGAAAAAATTATCACCATCTACAACACCAAATTAGTTTAATTAAAAGCAAAATTGTTTTTTTGAATGTTACTATATTTTTAAGCGAACTTAGTGACTTAAAAAAAAACAAAACGACTTAGGCCCTGTTTGATTCAGCTTAGGATTATTATAATCTAGCTTATTAGGAGTAAGCTGAAACAAACAAGTAGATTATTATAATCTATAAGCCAGATTATTATAATCTGATAAGCTACTCTAGAGGAGCTTTTTTCAGATTATTGAGTGGCTAAAGACCCACTACCCCTACATACTTGAGAAAAATTACCCACCTATGCCATCAACCGAACAGATAGCTGAGGGCATTATAGACTTTAGCCATTCAAACCCAATAATCCATGCCTTCAATAATCCAGACAAACAAACAACTCACAGCTTATTCTATGACAGTTTATTATAATCCAGCTTATAGTAATATGGCTTAATAATGTAGATTATAATAATCATAAGTTGAAACAAACAGGACCTTATAGTATGAAATGGATGGAGTAATTAATGTGTGTCACACAGTTACAGCAATGTATATAGGCGCCCCCCGCAGATCAACAAGTACTTAGTAATAGTGGAGTAGGTAATTACAGAGCAACAAGAGGAGGAGGGTACAATCACACACAAAGACTCTTGATGAATGAACAAAGAATCACATCAGCGTCTCCAAATTACTTAGGTACGTACAAAACAGATCGATCGGCAATGTAAACTCCGTTATTGCATGCTGCAATCGTAGATTAATTTACTTCTACACGGGCGGCGGCGGCTCCATCTTGAGCTTCGGAGAGGCTCAAATTTGAAGGAACGTTTGATGCACTGCTAAGGAGAAACATATATATGATGATGATCATGGGGTCTCGGGGGCGTCCTTGAGGTCGTACTTCTGGAGGATGGAGCCGCAGTCGGCGAGGGGCTCCTTGCGGAAGAAGGCGATGGGGTTGGCGTAGCGGATGCCGTTCTGCTTGAGGCCGTTGTTGCTGGTGAGCGGGACGCGGGACCGGTCGCGGGTCTTCTCCGTCTCGGAGCACGCCGGGTCGCTGCTCTTGTCCAGCACCACCTCGCAGATCTCCTCCTGGTGGTCCTGGTCGATCTCCACCTTGTACCACCCCTTCTCGTCCGTCGTCGCCTCCGCCTTCAGGCTCTCCCTCCCCGCCCCGTAGTGCCTGCACTCCACCGACACCGTCGCCCCTACGCACGCACGCACGCATTTCCTCAGTCACCTCGCCTGCACCTGCCTTCTTATTGCTTCTTCGATTCGATTCGATCTCTACGCACCTGGGATGCTTTTGGAGACGTTGGTCTCGAAGCCGGCGCGGCAGGGGTCGCAGTAGACGCGCCCGGTGACGACGAAGCCGCCGGGGTCCTTGCCGGCGGGAGCGGTGGCGACGGCGACGGACACCACGGCGGCGAGGACGGCGAGCGCCAACAATGGCGCCGTGGTGGCGAAGCGAGGACGCGCCATGGTCGTCTCGTACCGTACGTCGATCGGTGCGATCTCTCTCTCTCGATCGGTGTCGGGGATGGCGTGGAGGGGGAGGAGGTGAGGGTCCATGGCAGCGGTGCGATTTTATGGGCGCGCGAGCGGCGGGCCTCGTTTCTTGGCGCCATGGGCGGGGGCGCGCGCGACGACCCCTTCGTCCACTCGCCACAAAGCGCGCGAACATTGCATGTTTTGAATGGTTTGAGACTATATATAGCGTGTTAGGCTTAAGAATTTTATATGGGGGATTTATATATAGTATAATATATACTAGTAATATACTACTTCCTTCGTCTTTAGAGTTTAATTAGATACTTATAAACGGATACTGCTCATCTTCAAAATTTGACAACTTATTTTTTTTAATAAAGTGCATGATAAAAATATTTACGAGTATGATTAACGTATCATACTCATAAGTATCTAACGTGTTTCAGAATATAAATCGATAAATCCATGTTAGCCTTCTCGCGACGTGACAGCGTTATTTCGTCATGTCACCAACCGACACTGGCTTTTGCAATGTTAGCAAGGTCAACATAGCAAAACATTAACAATGTTGGCTCGTGTCCACTATGGATGGCATGACAACGTTGTTTTGTCACTAGTTTTGAAAATAACTTTTAGAGAAGAGTCTACTTTTAAAGTTAAAAATGTTAAATGAAATTAAATTCAGTTCACACACACAGTGGTTCTTGTCGAACCATGTTAAGCCTACATACTTCTTGTCTAAAACAAACCCTTTGAACTCTATAACACACCCTTAAACTTTTAATCCCATTTACTTTACCCCTTAGCGTTTTTTCAGCATGTGTTTTGTCTACGTAGCGTTGATGTGGCTATCAAATAAGTCAATAAATCAAATAAAATTACAGCATGACATGTCGGTGTTGCTCCCTCTTCCCTCACTCTCTTCCTCCTATCTCAATCTCACTCCTTAATGACTAGAGATGGTAATGGTCCCATGACCTAAGTCCCTGGGTTTTACTCCATTATAAGCTACAAATGGGCATAAACCTCACCAATGAGTCTACTAATGGGCATAAATATCATCCATCAAGCGAGTCGTGTTTAAAACGTTCACTATCCAAAAACGTGGGTCAAAAATACATGTAGGCCTAGCACATATGTGTAGTAGTGGCCCAATGCCATACAACCAATAAACCCTAAGTATAGAATCTCCCCACCCCTTCCCAGTCCCTACCTCTTCCCACCCTTGCCCGCTCCATCGCATGCATGGGCGTATCTAATGGCAGCAGCTAGGGACGTGCTCTTCCCACCCATCTCATCATCCCTTCACTAGACCTTCATGGACCAAGACCGCTGCACGCACGGGCATATCTCACGAAGGCAGCTAGGGAGTGTGCTACCCTCTAATGTCGCGCACCAAGATCACGTCACGCCAAGGAGTTGGTCAGGATCCACCCGTCCGGGGTGTTGGGCAGGACACAAGCACGCAAGCTAACACCAAACGCCGAGCACACATAACTTGCGTTTTCAGCTCGAGGCTCAAAATCCTATCCTTTCCCTGCTCTCAATCTATAATCTCATGTTCCCATCCCCAATGTTGTGTTTGCGCCCCTCTCAATCCTATCCTCTCCCTGTTCCTCTCCAGTGTTACAGTATGGGTACCCATTACCCACACGAGTGCAGGTACGGAGAAATCCTGCACCTGGCCGACAGTGGTTGTGGTTGTTGAAATGGGCATATTTAGTTTACACGGGGTGCAACTATGGGCTGAATGAACCTAATGGGTACACACCCCATTACCATCTCTACCAACAACAAACTTGTCGGGGACCTCACTGCACGCGCTGGGCTCGAACAAGAGAGTGGCAACGGTAACCTCCTCAAGCTTGGCTTGAAGTTGACCTCTCTGAGCTCGATGAGGAGAGCGGTAGCGATGGAGCATGGAATTCTCGCCACCCCAATCATGTCGAGCTTGCCGCTAACCCCATCTTTCCCGAGCTTGGCAAAGGGGGCGGGCTCCATGTCCTCATCAGTGGAGGGAGGAAGGAGGAGAGGGGTAGCACAATGTTATGGTGGACAGTGGGCGGCACAACGAGTTTTGTGGCTAGCCGCCACTCAGAGAAGGGGCTGCTCGGTGAAGAGAGCAGCTCAAGGAGGAGGAGCAAGGCGGATGGTGGTGGTGTCACCATTAAAATCCGCGTCCTTTAGCATCCCCTAGTTTCTTCACTCCTGAGCCTTGATCAGCTTGGGCAGTAGTGAAGGCGCTTTGGCGAGCTCCATCTCTCTAGCTAGGTAGTCGACAATGAGCTCCTCGCCCCTTCACTACTTCTAGCTGTTGTTGCTGCCAAAGAGGACTAGCACCAGATTTGTGCCACCACGACATCGTCACCAACCTTTCCATTCTGTTCTCCAGCATTATTGGACCTTCTCTCCGTCGTGGCTACAGGACCCCCTCCACGACTGTGCGTCACCACCTTTACCTCATCCACTGACCGCCGCATATCTTCACCCACCATTGCCATATGCCGTGGAGCAATGCCAATCTACGGCGCGAAAGCAGAGGGAGAAAGCTCATAGGGGTGGAGAGAGTGAGAGCTATGGAGGCCGGGATGGAGAGAGCTCGCCAGTACCTTCAACTACTCCGCCGAGCTTATTAGAGATGAAGGAAAGAGAGAGAGAGACAGAGGGGGAGAAGAAGAGAGGGTAAGGCTGATAGGTGGGACCCCCCTCCTCTCTGTGCTAACATGCATGGATTATTTGTAGAGATGGCATCTAGCTTTGGGTAAAGTGTCCGGTTTTAGTAGTTTGGGATTGTTAAATACCCAGTTTTCATGTTTAAAGACGAATTTTAGACCAAGCGAAGAGTTGAAGTGCGTAAAATGGAGTTTTTCCAAGGTAAAAATGGCTTGTAAGAGTGGGAAATAGTTAATTATTCTGTAAAGGAATAAGTTCACCGGAGGTCCCTCAACTTAACAGCAAGATTTTTTGACGTCCCTTAACCACAAAACCAGAAATCTCCACCCCTAATCTATACAAAACCGTTCACTCAAGGTCCCTAGGCAGTATATATGCGTGGTTATCGCTGACGTGGCATCCTAGTCAGCAAAAATAAATAAAATTAATATGTGGGGCCCACATGTAAGTGAGACAATGGTGTGGGTCCCACATTTCTCCTTTTTTTTCTTTTTCTCTTCTCCTCTCCGGGTTCTCTCGAGTAGGCGCGGCGACAGAGGGTGAGAGAGGTGGCCGGCGGCGGAGCGTGGACGGCGGCGGCAGGAGAGGGAGAGAGAGGTAGTCAGCGTGACGACAGCGGCGGGAAAGGAGGAGATGTGGTGGCCGGCGCGATGGCGAGCTCGGGCGCGGAGATGTTCGAACGCGCCAGGTGCTCAACCTCGGGCCCTGCCGCCGGCGAGCGGCGCGCTTTCCCCGTCGACCCTTTCTCCCTCCCTCGCCTTCTCGTCCTACACCGCCATCCTCTCCGCGCACTCCCGCCACGGCCGCCTCCGGGAGGCCCTCTCCCTCTTCTCCACCTCCGCGGTCGTCTGCCCTGACATCGCCTCTTTTCTCTCCTCTCTTCTCTTCTTCTTCAATGAGGGAGGCCGACGGCCAGCGGGCGGAGCCGCGACGGGCCCGCGGTGGGCGAGCGCGCTAGGGCGGCGAGGAGCAACGGAAAAGGCAAGTGAGGCGGGCGGCGACCTTGCTCCCGTTCACGTGCGGCATCGGCGTCGTCTTCGTCCTTTGCAGCGATTTCCCTAACGAATGCGGGCGGCAGATGCGGGCACGGCGGCGTGTGGGGAAGAAGCGGGAGAGGGGGCCGGTGCGGCGGTGGGCGGCATGGAGATGGGGAGAGGAGGCGGGCGCGGTGGCAGGCGGCGCGGAGAGGGGGAGAGAGGCGGCCGGGACGGCAGGAGTGGCAGACGGGGCGAAGGGCGGCGCGGAGAGGGGGAGAGGAGGCGAGCGCGGCGGCAGGCAGCGCGCGGATTAGGGGAGAGAGGCGGCCAGGACGGCGGGAGTAACGAGCGGGGCGGAGGGCGGCGCCTCTCCGCCCACCGCCGCCCATCGCCGCTCTGCCTGCATCCTGCGCTACTCTGCCCACCGCGCTCGCCCGTCGTCGCTCCGCTGCCACATGGGCCCGCCGCCGCCCATCGTTGCGCTCGCCTGCCGCCCTCCCATCGCCGCTCCGCCCGCCGACTGTCGGCCTCCCTCACTGAAGGAGAAGAAGAAGAGAAGAGAGAAGAGAGAAGAGAGAAGAGAAGGAGAAGAGAAGAGAAGAGAAGGGAATGAAATGTGCAGCTGACATGTGGGCCCCACATACTTTTTTATTTTTTTTTGACTAGGATGCCACATCAGCAAAACCACCCATATATACTACCTAGGGACGTTGAGTAAACGGTTTTGTATAGTTTAGGGGTGAAGATTTCTGGTTTTGTGGTTAAGGGACGTTAAAAATCTCGCTATTAAATTGAGGGACCTCTGGTGAACTTATTCCTTCCGTAAAAAGGACCTTGATGACTAAGTGGGCTCCGATTCTAGGGCCATACCCAAAACCCAGCCCAAGATTCGTTTTCTGCGTTGTGATTTAGCCCATAAAGACCACAGGCAGACAGGCTCCCACTACCACTAACGAGAAGCTACCCTCGAGTCCGACGGAGAAGGGGAGGGCTACCGCCTTCTGCGCCGCCGCCGCCGCCGCCGCGGCAGGTTGGCCGCCTCCGATCGAGTCCCGCTGGGGTGAGGTGAGCTCAGCACTGTACTTCTTGTGCAGTATTTTTGGTTTCCTAGATTTGCCCGGTTCTCGCTTGGCTCAAACTCGTTCTATCCCTAGCTTGCCCCGGCGCCCGCCGCTTGTTCGACAAAATGGCTGACCGGAAGAAGTGCAAGGCGGCGGCGGTCGCCACCACGGATGGCGGTGGCGAGGACCGCATCAGCGCCCTTCCGGACGAGGTCCTCCAGCGGGCGCTCTCCTTCCTGCCCTCCCGCGACGTGGTGCGGACGTGCGTGCTCTCCCGCCGCTGGCGCCACCAGTGGAAGTCCGTGCCCGCCCTGCGCATCTACGCGTTCGATGATTGCCGGGACGTCCAGCACCTGAGTGATTTCGTCACCAACTTTCTGCTCCGGCGCAACCGGTTGGCTCTACATGAATGCGACATCACATGCTTTGACGAGGGAGACGGTTGTGAGGTGTTCGGGGAGAACGCCAGACAGTGGATCCGGTATGCTGTATCGTGCCAAGTTCGGGTGCTTCGTGTTTCTGTTGAAGCGCACACCCGTCTATTTGGTGCGCCTCTCAAAGCCCAGCGTTTGAAGAGATTAGAACTTTTCAGCGTGGAGTTGGGGGCCTTCTCCCTTGATTTCTCTAGCTGCAGGGAGTTGGAGGAGTTGGAGCTGGGAGGTTGCATCATCAAAGACAAAGTAAAGCAGATCTTATCAGAATCATTAAGACGTCTGAGAATCGAAGGATGTGATTTTTTCCGAAATCGCACTCGCATTTCTTGCCCAAATCTCATTTCCTTGGAGATTACCGATTTTACCTTGTACACTCCAGTGCTCATGAGCATGCCTTCCTTGGCATCGGCATTTATCAGGTTTGGTGAACACTGTGCTGATTCTTGTGACTGCTACTATTACGGCGAATTTGGTCCCGATTATACTGGATGCCATCACAGTACAGTTAAGGGCAATGGCACTGTGCTTCTCAATGGTTTATCAGATGCCATCCAATTAGAGTTGATAAGTGGTGCCGGAGTGGTACGCTTGAGCCGCCCTATAAGAACTCCTAGTGTTTTTTGTTGTCAGCTACATCTTGTTGACTTTTCTTATCCATCCAAGAGAACATTAAGCTTTCTACAAAACAAGCTATCTAAGTGTATTGCCTGTTTGTTGCCAATTAACAATTGCGGATTATCATTATATTAACATGTAAACATCCTTTACAGTTGTTTCTGACATCATACTATATTAAACTGTGACTAGCAGAGCTTAACTAGTTATCCATGTTAATTTTCAATACCTGGTATATCATGTTCTTGTTTACTATGTCTTGTTCATCAGAAGATAGCAAAACCAAGTACAGGTTATAAATCTCTGCATCTTCTTCTACCTAATAATTACTTGAAATATAAAAAAACCCCTACACACAGCTCCTGTTCAATCCAGTATTTCCAAATCTGCTATTATGAAGTTAGACCTTGAATTTATTCTCATCAATTTGTGCATTGTCCAGTTCATTTTCAGAAGGGATTTTAGATGTTGCCCTACATTTAACAAGCTGAAAACACTGTTGCTCAATGAATGGTGTATGGCTGCTGACTCCAGCGCACTAATTTACTTCCTCCAACACTCACCGGTTCTAGAGAAACTTACTCTTCAACTTCGGAAGGTAAGAAAGATTACATGTAATTAGTATAGCTTTGTTTTATTAGAGTTTTCTTGTATAGTTGATTGATTCAATTTTAAAATTACTTTGTTTGCTACAGAGCCAACGTACTATGGTCAAAAGAGGTAGCACGAACAAAAATCAGAATGAAAAATTCTTGGTGTCAAAGCATCTCAAGTTAGTTGAAATTAAATACTGTGAGGATGAGATGGTTCAACAAGTTTTACATGTCCTAAGTGCTTGTGGCATACCATCCGAGAAAATTATCATCCAACGGATAAGCTCATGGGCTTCTGGAGGTAAGTCGACCAATCTGCAATCTTGCTTGTTTCCATTCATAAATTTTGACAATATATAAGATTTTATCAGAAAGATGGATATTCGTATGAATAATGAAGAAGACAACAGTCTTACATTGTTACATTGCGTTCACATAACTTTGCACAGAGAGATGGATATTTGTATGAATAATGAAGAAAACAACATTCTTACATACTTGCATTACATCCATATCTATACCCCTTACAAAAGGGAGTAGTCGTGGGGGTTGTTCTGCCCCCCCACCCCCCACCCCCCCAAAAAAAAAACCACCACCACCACCAACTCCCAACTTTCTTTTAGAGTAAAAATGACATGCGGGGCTAGAGGACCCACATGTCAACCACTCCCACTAACCCTCTACTCTTTATAGCAAGGAAAAAGAATAGTGTGGGACCAAAGGGCCCACATGTCTGTAACAAACATATACAACAATTAAGAGATGGTAATAATAGGTTAAAGATAATTTTCTTTAATTAATTAAAATCCCGTTGCAACGCACGTAAAATATGCTAGTAACCTATAAATTCTTTAGCTAAGCCTTAGCAGCATTGTGTACCTACATTTTCATGCATCTTTTTTCTGTGATTGTTGGTTGCCAACCCAACCATGAAAAGAGAGGAAGGTGTCTTGTGCAGCCCATCAGGGCCCCAAGAGTAGTCCACCTCTCTAGGGCCGCCGGTACTGTACATGAACAGTACCATGTGGTTACTGTCCATGCGTGGTACTGTTCAAATTGGGTGTTGCAACAGAGATAAGATTACATTTATTTGTTATCTATTTCCTTAATCTGAGACATAGGTTTCCTAAGGGTCAAGTTCTCCCATCTATGTAAGGGTGGGTATGTATCTTATTTGATAAGTTTGTTATGGGCTTTGATTAATGGATAGGGTAAAAGGTCCAAAGACCGCGATAAAGGTGGGATTGCACTGGTTGGCGTCATGTTTGCCTGTTGTGCCAGGAGCCCAGGACCTCAGGAGACTCTGATCAAGTTAGCCGAACTTTATGGTTTTTTGCTTAATTCCCGATGGGGTACATACTAGCCACATAGGGCCTGTAGGGAGAACACTTTACATCCAAGGAATTAATGTCTACTATCAGAGAAACCAATCCGATCTCTATCTCTAATTTGCTAACAAATCTCATCCATTGGCTAACTAGATAATCTCCTATCTTTATTTCATTTATTCTTAATTTGCTAATTGACCTGCTAAGTATCCGTAAGGGGTTACCACAAGCCCATTACAGGGTTACTGTAATCTTGTTGGCCCATTGGAAAGATTGGCTTGTTTCAAGCTGACAAGTGCTAGTGCCATTCAAATGATAACCCCGTACTATCTGCAAAAAAAGAGAAACTTGCATGATCTCTAGGGTCAAATGCACTATCTGTAGCTTACAGGTAGATTAGATGGGTGCATGTAGATGATAATACCTGAGAGCGTCAATTAGAGTGAGTACACGTGAGAGGTGTCTGCATGTGTTTTCAAGCCACAGATGATGGGATTTGACCTAGAGCTAGCACACCACTTCAACAAGATTAGCTGTTAAAATGAGCAGTTACATTCATTCACCCAGTTAGAAGTTTTTTAGACCCAGTGATGATATATTTATAATACATCGTTAGGGCTTATGTTTTAGATCAAACTGATTGTTGAAGGCAAAGGGAACATCCTGTAAGTAAAATGCCCTAGCCAAAAAAAAAACTGTGAAAATGAAGGATTCCTGCATTTCAATGTCCCTTTCCATCAATAGATTTTTCTTATTACTTTTATATGGACCTTTTTCGGTGCTTATTGTATCTTGTTCATGTTTATACAGGTTTTAGTTTCGAGCAGAGGAAATAGGCTCGTTGATTGTTGAGAATTGTGCCCCTGAATCTGGCGCCACGAAGCTGCTGGCTTCCACGTCTGTCTATCAAGATCATGGGTAGAGTGACATTCTTAGGAACTAGTAGTAGTAGAATGAGCAGCCTGACTTGCTTGTTGGGACTAGTATGTTTCGTGTGAATATCTGATGGCACATGGCATGTTTCTTGTGCTTCCTTCTGATTAAACTCATTCATGTTTGGTAATGCCTGGAGAAATTGTGTTAATATGTGCTGTTCTTGAGTAGAAGCTGAAACTGCAGCCTGAACTGAAACACTGCTGAAACTTGTGTGTCCAACAGAGCTCTATGTTGCCTTAATTTTGGACTTTATTCGGAATTACTATATGGCTAAGCAGAGCATTAAATTTGACCCTTATAATATCGTCTAAAATTACCCAGCTGTTAACACCATAATAATACTTATACGAACCACACTTAAGCTAAATCCTTCTCATAAAATCTTCAGATAAAGCTGCACCTCAGAGAGTCCAAAACGACTGTAGTAAATCATTATTCCCCCATATCCATATGGAATCAAACCGAGAGTATACACTAACGCACTACGGCGAGGTCGAATCAGGACCTGGTCTTGAAGGGCACGTAGGTCTTGAGCGAGTCGAGGACGCCCTGGATGGAGGCGGCGCAGGCGGCGACGGTGACGAGGAAGCAGACGAGGCTCAGGCTCTGCAGCGCCACCCACTTGGCGCTGAACCGCGGCAGCTGCCGCTGCCGGATGTACATCTCGACGGGGAAGAAGACGGTGAGCGGCCAGAACGCGATGCTCCCCAGGATTCCCAGGATGCTGTTGAAGAAGGGCATCAGGATGGCCAGCAGCGTGATCACCGCCACGAACGCCGTCCTCCACACAAGCCGGAACACGTTCACGCCGCTGGCCCGCCCCGCGCCGCCGCCGAGCAGCCCCGGGCACCGCCGCGCCACGCCGCCCTCCACGGCGGCGAACAGCGGCTGGCAGAACACCTGGAACCCGCCGACGAGGTGCACCACGATGCAGGCGTTGGCCACGTCCACCAGCCAGTATGGCTCGTAGAAGCCGAAGCCGGTGAGGATGTTGCCCGGCGCCGCGTTCCCGAACGCCGAGTAGCCCAGGCAGCCGCACAGCAGGTAGAACCCCGTGGTCGTCGAGATCCCCGCCGCCGTGGCGCGCCGCATCGTCGCGTTCTCCGGCGGCGGCGACCGCAGCGTGTCCTGGATCTCGATGAGGATGATGGCGTAGGAGTAGGCGAAGGCGACGTTCCCCAGCGCCTGGAACGTGAGCCACACCTTCTGCGTGGCGTCGACGTCGACGCCGACCACCGTGCCCGTCAGCGTCGTCCTCCCCAGCGGGTCCATGATGGTCTGCGCCAGCGACAAGCCGACGGCGATGGCGGCGTACGAGAAGGACATGACGGCGGCGATGATGGACAGCCACCAGAGCTGGTGGAAGTTTGGGAGCTGGCAGAAGAGGGCCTGCAGGACGCCGAAGCCGATGATGTAGGCGCTCGTGTTCTGGCTGCAGTCCGTGCCATGGCCGCGCCAGTGGTAGCAGTTGGACTTGTTGATAGCCCTGCACACGCGCGCCACGCCATGACATTGTACGTTAATTAAGCTCGATGCAAAGAACATGACGTCATCAATGGCGGGAAGGAAGGGAATTTTTTTGTTTGAACTTTTTAAATTTTCTTTTATTTTAAAAAATAAACCTTATAAAAACTTATTTCCAAAATCTGGCATGGCGTGGCAACTGTCAGATACCCGTAGTGAGCGTGATAGTTTTGTCCTTACCACGTCAGCCAGACCGGCATAATCAAATAATGAGGGTTATTTTGTCACGTTAATCCGGCTAGCATGATCAAAAGGTTTAGATCTTAAAAATAAGTCTTGAAAAGATATATTTTTAAAATTATTCTTTTAAAAAAATAAGAAGAAATTGAAAAAAAAAAGAGAGTGGCTAAGCTTACGCGGCGGAGATGGAGGCGGTGATGGTGTAGCCGATGCCGGTGCCGAACATGTTGACGTACTGGCAGAAGCCGCAGAACCAGACGTGCCAGCCACCGAGGTAGGACTTGACGGCGTCGGTGTAGGTGTAGTTGCGCTTGCCGGTGGCCGGGTCGCCGACGCGGTAGCAGTCGGAGAGGAGGCCGCAGGTGTAGAAGGTGATGGCGGCGAAGAGGAGGAGGGTGATGGGGCCAGCCACCCACCCCAGCTGCGCCATCGCCCACGCCAGCGACAGCACGCCGGACCCGATCACCGCCGTGATTATGTGCGCCGTCGCCGTCCACACCGTCCCTGCAAATTGCATTTCATATGCGCCCAAAACACATCACTTGAAATCGATCGAATATTTTGCACTGTCCGTTCAAAATTCAGAAGAATTTAAAACGAACAAATTATTCATCAGAAAACAATGCGATTGAATTGCAGGCCAGGTTTGCAATTTCTAGAATTTCAGGCTACCGGCACGAAACTATTACGCCTGGAAATTTTATTTTCGTTCTTTCTTTCACAACCTAAGTTAGCTCTGTTAATATATAACTAGTTTTTAGTTTTCACAATCTACAATTCATTGCCTGACCTATCATCTACCAGTAGCTGGTTCATAAGTTAAGAGCTAGTATGTTAATTGTGCATATCATATCAGATTCCTGCTCTATCAATAGAACTTTGCACCGTCGTTTAAAAAAATTGTGCATACCAGATAATCAGATTCCTCGTTTTTGATTTTAGGGGAATTTTCGAATTCTCAAAGGCAAACAAGCATTCAAACAGCAGCTAGCTTAACACAACAATGTCGCCAACCTTTTCTTTCTCCCTTTTTGTAAACAGAATGTCCTGAAACATTGATTAAGAAAACAGATGATCAATGATGCCAAAAGAATTCGATGCAGACAAAACAGTCGCAGTTCTTGACTTGGACATCAAACGGCCGGCTGCATATATAACAGAATCACCACAGGACAAAACCTAGAACAGCAAAGATCAATGGAATATCGGATTGGAGTTGAACACGGAAGGACCTTCCCATCCGGTATCTCCTTTTGTTTTCCCATGCACTTATATATATACTACTTTTACTCGCAGCGCGTGTTTAAGATAATTTTTTTTAAAAAAAGAAAACTGTATAATAGCATCCTACAAATACGCGAGTTATAAAATACCATCATATTTTTATAAAAGGGCAGTATATAAAAGGGTAAGTTTAGTATTTTTAAAAATTTAATAAAGGGCTGTCAAATCATTTGAAGTTGAGATTTATTTCCATTGGGAGTAAATTATTTTGGATCTCGTCGTCCGTTTGTGCTAGCGCTTTATTTTTGGACAGACCGAGTACGTAGCTAGCGTACATGCCGACCTATCAACGACGAGACGAGCAAGAGACTAAGACTAGAGTGGATTTCATCTGAGCCACTCTCTCTCGAGCGGGTTCTGGAAACGCAAAAATACAAAAATACCCTCACGCAAAAAGATGGAAAGACAAATATACCCTTTCCGATTTATACTGCAAAACTAATATGAAGGAAGATCAAATGAATCTACACCATCTATACTGTTAGATCATTACTTGTAGTATACTGTACCATAAAAATCCTCTTCGACTAAGCATAAGCACAATCTGATTGTCATGCATCCATAACTCTACTACTATATCAATAATGTTTTTCAAAGTTCTCAAGTGCAATGTATCTGAAGTCAGGAGTATGTCTTTCTACGAGAAAGGTACAGGAAACCAGCACAAAAGATCTCAAAGGCTAGCTAGCTAGCTAGAGCAGCTGCTAACTGAACTAGCTAGACTGCTATATGATCATGTATGAGCAGGAGTCAATGCATGGTGCAGCCGCCGCCGCCGCCGGATTCGGTGACATCGCCGGCGTCGGCTTCCATGGAGACCGTTCTTTTTCCTGCTGATCATGATCTCCTGTACACCTAGGAGGCTATGGCTAGGAGTGGAGTATATGCCTATCCCTGCAAGAGGCAACTTTAGGGAGATGTGCCAGTTTTTATGGGCAAAAAACCCAACCCAATCACAAGGACCTCTATTGCATAGCATAGGCGGCGATGCTCTGTGGCATGGTGTCCAAATATCTGAACTTGCAATGACATCCTCAATAATCAAGGTCAATAGCCTCACTACAATGCATATAGCCTCAATAATCAAGATCAAAGAATACACATTCTTGTATTCTTTGATCTCACTACAATGCATATAGCCTCTTCTTGGTCTTTAAGTTGGAGCCCACAAAGGAAATAAAGACCCTATTCATCCAGGATTCAAATAACAACATGTATGTTGCATAGGAATAAAATGTTTTAGCCTTAAGCTTAAGATTGGCCATAGCAATATTCTCTCCTTTACTCATCTCCCAAGACAAAAAGATAGAGCAAATACACTATTTTATTTTTGGCTCTCTCATTTGTTGCAAAATAAGTTTATTTTTAAGCAATTATCGTATCGGAGCTTGTGAAACTAGGAAATAAAATTGTGTGAGTAAATAATGCGGAGAATAATTGTATTAAAATTTAATAGAGTAGAAGTATTCTAGTCTGTTTGATTTTGTATTGGCATGTGTGGGACATGTGAAAAATGAACTTATTTTGGGATAGAGGGAGTACAATACTACATCTACAGTGAATTATTTTTTGTGATAACTTCAATTATGCTAGAGAGATTTGAACTCTAAAATTATATTTTTTGTGATAACTTCAATTATGGTAAATCTATAATATAGTTTTGTGGCAAATTTATTGCTAAATGCATAGTTTTCTGATATAATGCGTTGTATTGTTCAATCAAAGTATGTGTAAACTCTTATAATGCCTTGTATTGTTCATCCAACTATGGACAGGGGACAAGTAAGTGTAATTTAACAAATTCCATCTGTTCTAATAACAGGGTCAATTAAACCAACACTAATATTTCCTCACAGACAATTAGACAAACATCAATAGGTTAAAAAAAGTAGTAATAAATAAGTGAAAAACGTGAAATTTTGTTCCTATTTTTGTCATCGGTCCAAAATTAATTCTGAACCAATTCATGCATGCGGGGGCATAAGCAAGGCAACAAATAGCCAGAAATTCTTTGTTTTTTTTCCTTAGCTAGCAAAAGATTCAAAATAGAATCATTAATTCTCTCTAAATCCAAAGGATCATGGTGAGCACAGCTACAGTTGGAGGCAATCAATACTAGCCAATTCGACTGATCGTGCAACAAAGTAAAACTAGGATCAAACCATATGCATGACCTGGACACAGAGATTATTACATGCAGATAATGCAAGGTTGGTGCAATTAACGTAGCATTAATTATTATTTGATCATCTACATCTACGCAAAGCAAGCTTTGATAATCCACCAATCTGTTGCGAGAAATACATAGAGGAAGGAGTAGCAGTAGCTCGGATATCGTAGGGAGGAAGAGGGGGCCCGAGTTTAATTCCCATGGGGAATCTGCATCTGCTTTTAATGACCCCCGTTTCACGAAGCCTGACGGCCTCAGTCCCAACAATTTCAATTCAGGTTTTCACCAATTATTACTGGATATATATCAGATGCAGAATGAATCTCCAATCAACATCGACCAGAAAGAGGATCGATTACCATGCATGATAAAAACAAAAAGGATCTTTTCCATTGCATGGCCGGTGATCATCATCAGCAAGAGGAGGAAGAAGAAGAAGATTGAAGTCTTGAAGAGAAGAGTATGTACCTGTCCTCCTCTCCTTGCCGTCGTCGTCGACGTCGCCTTGGGTCCGGGGAAGGTAGACGTCCATAGCTGACGCCGCTCCGCCGCCGTTGCCGTTGGTCCCTCCTCCCATGCGAAGAGAGAGGCTTCTTTGTCTCTCTCTCTCCCCGAGCTAGAGAGCTAGCTAGCTATTCGATCGATCGTACGTCTCTCCGGTTGATGCGCGGGGTGGTATATTGATCCCCTCTCCCTAGCTAGCTCGGCGCAGGGTAGCGAAGCAAAGCTGCCTCCGACGAAGGCGGTGGGTTGGGGGAGTGGTGGTGGTGGTCGGGAGAGGGAATAGGAGAGGCCAGTGAATGCCCCCATATATATAGCGAGGAGGGACACCATGCATCAGCGCTCTCTCGCTAGCTACTCATAGAGAGTATAGTAGGCTACGCGTGGAAACAGGGGATACCCCGGCGCCAGTGCGTTCAAATTAAATTAAATCCAATCCCCGTTTTTATATCCATATAAACAGCTTAATGAAGTAGTAGCATGGGTTATCTAAAAAGGTAAAAGAAAAAAAGTATCCATAAAGAGCACAACTCGTGTTTTGCTGTTTTCATCTTATCTGCGATTAATTGTATAAATGTGTCAATTCGCTTTGATTTAACTCGCTGGGTTTCTGTCAGATATTTTTGTTCAAAATTATTTGAAATTTTAATGAAATTTGGTCAAAATTTAAACAAATTATGCTAACTTCAAAAAAAAATGGAAAATTTGGACGAAGTAGTTTCAGGTGGGGTCCGATGGACTGTTATTAAAGCATGACTTTTGCTATTGTTTCGTGCGGTTTCTGATAATATACGGTACGGATGGATTAAACAAAAATTAAATAGCCATTATATGTCCAAATTTGCCATGATCATTGAATTCTATATGTGGTGTAGGATGCCATGTTACAAGGGGGTACACGGGCCATGGTCAATTTCATACAGAGCCCCTTAGGATCCAAATCCTCTTCACAATCACCAAGACAGAACTAGGACAAAACAAAAATATCAAACGAAGTTTCATACCCCTCCGTCCTCCGCCGCAATCTTGATGATGATGAGCTGAATTCACTATTCATGCCACTCATTTTGGGAATGTTGTGTGCATAGTATAAGCAGATACAAGGATATGTTATGTGTGGTAGCTTCAAGGAAGAGAAGCAACTTTAGACAACTGCAAAGTATTGTGGGTGACGAATGGCAACATGGAACTTTAGTGTGTTGGATTCACAGGAAAGAGAGACGGCTGCGAACAAAAGAAAAGGGAAACCGTCGACGGTGACTAGGGGGACAAGGTACCTTCGAGGAAGATCAACAGATGTGGTGAAAAGCACAACAGCATGGTGGCATGAAATGAGGCACACGTAGATCACCAATACAAGGGATTTGGGAATATTAACAATTGTGAATAAGATTTCGATCAAGAGAGATTTTTTGCGAAATTGGCTATGCCCAAGGACCCCTTGCAATGAGAATACACCTGGCATGCCACATCTCTAGACTCTAGGATACAATCATGGCAAACTTGGACCTTCAATGGTACATTTAATAAAATTAGAACGACTAAATTTGCAATTTTAAAGATTAGAGATTGGGATGAGACCACCAAACATGTGTTGTAGCAGGGACCCCGCACCTCCTCCGATCTAGGGAAAGCCGAAACTACCATGTATGTCCTATTTGATTTGAATATATATTCAGGAGTCAAGCTAGCCATCACACACACTCGAATCAAGAAGTTTTCGAATATCATTTGGAAACCTAGTCATTCGAGAAAGCCAATAGGGCACAGTTTTGAAGGAGGTACTTCGAGGAGCCAAGCCTAAGTCTGGGGAATCAAGCCGGCTCAAACATGTGTTTCCAGGGACCACGACAAAAGGAGCGGCACCAGCTTGTAGGTGTGGCCCTGAGCTCGACAATTGGATAAATGGGTCCCCTCATAAAGGCCAGAATATACATCTGTACCCTTTGCATGTGACGTCCTTTCTAGGCACTAATGTAACTTCCTAAAGGGGGTTGGATGGCCTGTAAAAGGGCAGCTTGTCCTATCAGGAGGCAGATGCATTCTGAACTTAAAAAAAAGGCTAGCAGCGATATACTAAATATACCCATATACCTTTCGGATACATTCATTACTCAAGATAGGTAAGGTCACCTTATTTCCTCCTCTATCTTCTACTTGTTAACGAAATTTTGTCACGGCATATATTGGCATCGTTCGTTGGGAGCGTGAGTGGCCTCGAAAGGTAGATGAAACCAAGACCTCAACGAAGATAAGTGGTAATAGCGAGATATGCTGAAGTGTTCGGAAAATCACCTTAGTCACCTGAATTCAATGTTGTAGAAGCAGAGGAGCCGAATTTGAGAACATGAATGATTTCGAGTAAGGTGCAACTGTCAAAGATGAAGAGCAGAAAGCTGAGGAAGCAAGAGTCACAACTGAAGTGGCAAGTGGAGTGCTAGCATTGAGAATGGAAGCATTAGTTAGTATGGTGCAAGAACAAAGGGCTCTAATGATAAACACGACATGGTACAAAGCAACGCAACAAGAATACAAAGACTTCTTACGACAAAACATGATTTGTGCAAGTGCAGATGTTGATGTGGCTACACATTCTTGACCAATCGACATCAAGCCTTTGATCTCTTAGCAGAATGAAAAATGGTCTACTAAGTTCAATTTAGTTTGTTCAGTTGAACCTTCTGAACTCAAACATGAATAGTGCTTCGGCTCCTGATTTGAATACAACAACCTAATAACAACCATTCACTGTAAACCCAAACCATTCTATTCCATTTCAACCCACCCAACAACATTCAAACCACAATAACTCAATGAGCCAAAATCCAAACATAGTCAGCAAAGCAGTCTTTCATGCACATCAAAAGAACATCAGCCCAATACCTTATACAACCAACCTAATACCCCAAATACAAATACTAGTCAATATACCTCAACCAACCCAAGCTATACCAATACAAAACCAAACATCACAATAGAACATACAAAATATCATCGCTCAGTTAATCCATCAACAAGACAAATCGAGCTTCACAATACAACCCATCCCACAACAAAACCCACAACTAGTCTCACATCAAACGTATAAAACATTGAACTTTGCAAAACAACTTTATCACCAATAGTATCAGTACACATTGTTCCAACCTTGTGTGCCAACATTTTTGAAATAGCAACAGTTTGTACAATCACGAGGAGTTCGATCAATCAATGAAAAATACTCTCTAAGTCCAGCATTGCAAATGAAACCCTAGCCAATGAAATTCAAACTTTCAAACATAAGAAAGCTCAACAGCAACACAGGCGCAAATGAATTCTTGAGAGTATATGAGACAACAATAAAAGCCACCGGTGAAGATGGCAACACAAATGCAAAAGTCTTGCGCACGGTGCTCAAAGAGATAGTTTTGTCCTAGCTCTTCACAATACCAACATTATTGCTACACTCATGGGAACAATTGAGGGAGATGTTTGAAAATGGATTTCAAAGAACTTGTGAGGAGTTGAAAGGGGCAGAAGATTTGATGCAATGAAGTAATTAACATGGCAAATGATTAGAGAATACATCACAATATTCTTAAGGGTTCGATGATAGATTCGAGGGGCTTGTCATAGTAGGGACCCCACACCTCCTCTGATCCGATGAAGCCAAAACTAACATGTCTATCTAATTTGATTTGAATAGATTTTCAAGAGTCAAGCAGGCAGAGCCAGGCTCCCATGGCTGGTCGATGGCGGATCCGCGCTCCCGCAGTCGGCCAGCGGCAGACCCGCACACCCGAGGCCGACCAACGGCGGATCCAAGCACCATTGAAGTTGTCCAGCCGCTGTAGTCGTTAGCGGCTGACTACAAATCCAGGTGTCGTCGTTGTCATGACCTGCATGAAGCTCGAAGGTGGAGGAAGGCTGGAGGAAATGAGAAGAAGAGATGGATGGGGACCTGTGGGACTTAGCCAAACTTTAATAGCGCCTCCACATTTTGCAGGCGGACCACTGAAGGTCCCACCTTTGAAAATCGTATTTTTCCAAGCGGACCACTTAAGGCTCCGACCATAGTTGATTTTCATAGGCGGGGCAAAAATCTAGGGGGTCTCTAGATATTTTTGCAAATGGTTATATGAGGGGGTTTTTTTTTGGTTCTAGAAAAATAAGAACCAGAGTTAGTAAAAATCATTTTCTAGTAGTGCCTACTACCCCCGTTGCCTCCCCTCCACCGCGTTGTTCCGTTCCACCAATTGTTGCACGGCTTTGGAGGCGGCGGAGCCGACACTGTCGCCGTCTTCTGCTACGACATCTTGCCGCCCACTGCCGTAGCGGCGTCGACAGTCATCCACGGCATCGACAAGTAGTATGCCAGTTCGAGGGGTAGGCGCGAAGCTGCCAGTGAGGTGTGGGGCGGGGGACAAAGCAACGGCACAGCGAGGTCGTCACTGCGGTCGGGCAGGATGTGGATCGACCGATTTGATTTTTTTCCTTGAGAGAAGCAGTCTATCTCTCTTCCTATCCTGACATGTGGGCCTATGGATAAATCCGTCTGGCCAAGTTGGGAAGAGGAAAGAAAATATGAGAAATTTGAGAAACTCGGGAAATAGATAAAAGTGGCATGGAACGAAGGAATTCACGCTTCTGATTGCATATTATAAAAGCAGTCAAATTGAGTGGCATATCCTGAAATAGTGCGAATTATATGGCCTTTTTTACCCACTAATGTAACTTCCTAAAGGACCACACTTATTACAGTACAACATTCTTGCACTTTTGTCAGGGCATCTGTCACGCCCAGAAATTCACGAACCAGAATTTCTAAGCTGAATGTGCATTAAACCCCTGTCTAGGACCAGCCAGGGTACACAAACGATAATTGTTGACATACAAATCAACGTCTTACAAAAATAGAAAAGATTACAAATGCAGCGGAAAAAGATAAAACGAGCTAGACTTGGAAGCTTGAATTCTGCAGCGGGGCGACTCCACTCCACAGGCATCCCTTGATGGCAGCGACGAAACCAACCTCAACAAGACGACTCCAACTATGAAGATCTTCAGCTCTGGTGTGGGGGAAAAGAGAGCAAGACTGAGTATTACCCACTGTACTCAGCAAGTCATACCGGAAGAGGAGGTATGATGCAGGATATATCCAAAGGAGGCTAAGGGGTTCCTTTGCAATAAAGTAGTCATTTAAAAGAAGTAGTTGAAAGCAGTAAAACAATTGTAGTAATTAAGCAGTATTAACCAATCACTGTCCAACGCTACACCACGTTGCAACAGGCCCAACCAACCACCTGAACTACACCAGTTCATTAAGCTAA